CGGAAAATTCTTTATATTCCTTAAAATTGGGAAAATAAGACAAAAATGTGGTCAAACGATGACCAATCGAGATATATAAATACTTTTATCGTATTTATTACATGTGCCCTAACATGCTTAAACATAATAGAGAAGAAGATTTGGTAAAAATCTATTTAATTAATTTATTTTAAATTGTTTTGTAAATTATTTTGTAATCAAAATTCAATAATTTCGCTCAAATGGTGACGTAATGCTATATGAGTGACAACCAATTAATTGTTATTCATCAAAAACATTATAAAATTAATTGACTACTGTATATAATAAGATTATTTTTATAATTTTTTATACTTTTTAAACAATTTATTCATAATAATACTTAAAATAATCAAAATTATTTAAAATATTTTCCCTCCTGTTAGTCATTTCCCTGATTCACTTTCTATTTTCCGAAGTTTCCCTATAAATTCCGTCTCGGCAACATGGGAATTTTAGGAGTTTTCAAATAATGACGAACATTATATACAGTACAACCTCTTTACAAGGAATGAACAAAAATTACATAAAAATGGTTTCTTATGGAGAGTTTGGTCAATATTCTTAAAGCCTATAATTAATATTTGCTTCATTACAGGTAATAATGAATATACAGTATATATACTGCAGTGATTGCAATATACAGTGTATGACTGCAATGATTAGCACGTAATGCACTGTTTGTACTGTAAAACAATGCAAAATCACATCACATATAAAACGTTTGCAAAAATGCAATGAATGTTATGATCGCGTAATTGATGTGTGATTTGGCGCCAAATAAGTGATTGTTTATTGATTTCGTGAATAAATGCAAAAATGTTGGACAAGAAGACAATCGGTTCCCAAGACTTCTACGGCTCGCAAACGCCACACAAGAAGAGACAGCGAAGCGGAGGACAAGCGGTGATCGACGAGAACCACAACCCTTTGAAACGACACAACAATGCGAACCACAAACACAAAAAGGGGACACAAAATGACTCCGACTTGGGATCCGCTCAAAAGATGTATTCATTTCCATCGCATTGTCTTATTTCACACAAAGAGATGAATCACATGAACAACGGTTTCTCCAGAAGTAAATGTTTTGTTTGTTTTGTAAATGATTTGCATTTTAAACCATTTTCTTAATCGCAAAGAGTTTCGAAACGATTGCCGAAATCCGAAACGACTGAATGGCGGCAATAGTCGTGTCGAAAGACATGACACTCTTGTCAGCGAAAGACACGAATCGATGCGAATGGATATGAAGACATTGATGGCCAACAGTTGTCAAGACAACAGCCTTAAGACTCCTCAGACTAAGAGTCCTGAGATTACACACAATCAAAAGATTACACATTATTTCCAAAAGTCGGTAAACAATGAATCGTTGATTCCTTTGAGTGAAGAGAAGACGAGTGAAAGAAATGACGTTATATTCGACGACTGGTGGGTCGACGACGACGTGCCCAACAGTGACGTGATTGAAGTGTTTGACGCCAACTGTCCGTTTGGACTCAAGAATCTGGGAAACACTTGTTATATGAATTCAGTTCTTCAGTGTTTGTTTGCCTTAAGGTTTTTCATCAACGATTTGGAGACGAGTTTCGAACAAATGAATCCGAAATCCGATTTCTCAATGACTGAAAGCCTTTTAAATCTTTACAATCAATACAACTCTTTGCGAACAAATGAAGACAATTGGAGCGGCGAAGACCTGGAGACCAGTTTGTGGCGATTGAAGGACTGTGTCGGCCAGAAGTCGAGTCTATTCCAGACGAGCGGCCAACAGGACGCCGCAGAGTTCTTCACACATGTCATCGACACCATTGCCGAAGAGTTTGAAACCTCTTGTAATAAGAACCTGATTTGGGATCACTTTGGATATGAGATGACGCGTTCTCTTGAGTGCAAAACGTGTGGCAATGAAACCAAAATAGATAACGAAAAGTTTCACGCCTTGGGTTTGACTCTTCCTGACGACCATTCGTTGACAACAGGTCTGCGAGACTTTCTCAAAGATGAGACGACTGGACATCAATGCGTTTCCGAGAACTGTTCGGCGAATGAAAACGTTTTGCGCAAATCGTTTACAAAACACTCGAAGGCTTTGTTTCTTCAATTGGGAAGATATACAGAAGACGGTTCCAAACGCACCGAAAGTGTTGCCGTTCCGCAAGTGATCCACCTTTCGGCGCAACACGTGAGGACCCCGTCGTCTCCCAAGTAAGACATTAAGTGCTGACGAATCGGTGTTTAATTTAATTTGCATTCAGATTACAAGACATGTCACGAGTTGTGCGAAAAATCTCTTTCGATGACGAAGAAGTGGACAACGAAGTGGTCTATCAGTTGGTTGCTGTCATTTGTCACCACGGGATCAGTCTATCTGTGGGCCATTACACGAGTTTTGTGTTCAACAGTGATAACAATCAGTGGTATTCGTGTGACGACAACCGGATCTCAAAGACAGACTTTGATTGGGTGGAGAAAAGCAGTCAAAAGTCTGGCTATTGTTTTATATATACGAATAAATTGACAAAATCTGAAAACGTCTCAAATTATTGATTGAATTTCATTTTTAACAAAATATATCTTTCATCGAGTTTTAAATAAAAATATTTTATTAGAATTTCATGTTTTGTAAATAGTTTAAAGAGTTATTTAAATGTTTTAATAAATTGCATAAATAAATCATAAATAGCGATAGTTTTGAGACCATTTGAATGAAAAACTAAAAATTGTGTAAAAGTTTGAAATTAAACATAAATGTGTTTTAATATTGTTTGTGAAGTTTATTACGAAAATGCATTTCAAATAAATGATGCGATGTTTGGGACGTGTTTTACTCAATAATCAGATCAACCATAAAGTCATGCAATAATGTAAAGGTTTTGCGAAATTGAAAATTAATAATTCATATCAATTGCTATAATGTTATTATTTTACGACAACAGAGTGTTTACAATACGATTACATGAGATATAAAGTCATCCCAATTAATGTTGTGTTCATTTTATTTCATTTAATCACATATTCTTCACTTTACCGCCAATTATGACCACAAATACGGCAATAATTGTTGTGCAATGAGTCTTATATCGAGCCTTAACTGTACTTTTGTGCCAATAATACGCATGAGTTGTGAATAAGAAGACGTTATTTGTTGTGAAGAAATCAATGGAATTGAAGAGAGATTTAAATTGAAGACAATTTAGTGCTAAAAATGGCCACAAATTACCGAACATTCCGTTAGTCTTGTAATGCAATCCATATTTCATTTCAATCTCTCGTCTCTTTCGCAGATGTATTGCTTCTCGTCTTCATTGGTGTGCAATGTATGGCCGGAGCGTCGGCTCAAGAGTCGGACCTGTTTTTGATGACATCTCCCGAATCGGTGCGTCTCTCGGACTCAACACAACCGATGGACAGCACATCTGTGGCCGACTTTCTGTCCCTAACTCTGGGCTACTCTTTACCGAAGGTTACAGTGTTTGAGACGATGAGTGAGAAGTGGTGGGCGTAACCCGTCTTTCGTTACAGGCTTTCGAGTGGTCGGGAGTGACCGCTATTACCGACGTCTTCTCGTTGGCCAAAGCGTGTGTAACGGTCCGCCTCTCTGGCCATCACGACATCCAAATGCAAGCCATTAAACGGATCCCAATTGTGGGCGCCGTTCAGCACGAGTGGGACGTNCTTTCGTTACAGGCTTTCGAGTGGTCGGGAGTGACCGCTATTACCGACGTCTTCTCGTTGGCCAAAGCGTGTGTAACGGTCCGCCTCTCTGGCCATCACGACATCCAAATGCAAGCCATTAAACGGATCCCAATTGTGGGCGCCGTTCAGCACGAGTGGGACGTCCTTTCGCACCGAACGGAACAGCGCTTCGCAGCCAATGAGCGGCTCATCTTCAGAATGGAGGTAAAGGACGGAACGGGACAACAGAAACACAGATTTAATGTTGGCTTCATTTAAAGGACACCTTCGATGGCAACTCTTTTCTGGACTCTTCAGCCGAACAGCGGCTCTCCAATGGACTCAAACGCAAAGAAATACAGGAATTGGTGACAACTGGCGACAGAAATGATGACAATATAAAGGCGTTTGTCTTGGAATTGGAAACCATTTACGAAATTCTGGATTCGGTTTGCAGTCAAAGATCTTTTGGTTTTTTTTAATTGAAGACATGTTTTTGTAGTTAAAGACATCAAACAAATTGTCTGCAATTCGAGGCCTTTTCTCGTTCGACATCTCGTCCTTCGACGCCATCTTAAGTGACCAGAAATACGAAGAATCAACACAAGATTTTAGACGTATTTATGGCGACAAAGTAGTGGTCGCAGTGTTTCAACAACGAAGACAATCACCTCATTTGGTCCGCAATACCAGAGATACCAAGGTTTGTGTTGCATAAGAGGCGCGCATGCGTTGCACAGCGAGTGCTCGCAATTTGATACACTTTTGCTGACAAACGGAGCGTTAGTTGTATTCAGAGTTGTATTCAGAGTTGTATTCATTGACTTTTGAAACATCTCAACAAAAGAGAGAAAAGATTGCAAAACGACCGCAGATTCACTATTCATACGCGAAGAGCCTCTCCTCAGCCTCTCCTCAGCCAAACAAACCCTATTAGCTCTCCCTCTCCCTCGCAATACATGCACTGTTGATAATGTCGTATAATTTAATTACGATCACAATTTCTATGCTTTATTTGAGCTCTCATTTGGACTAAATGTTGGAAAATGTTTTGATTTCTTATATTTGCGATTCTTTAGATTAGTCATACGTTAACTGCCCTGAAATCACTTATTACCACTTTGTCAGCCCTTTCGTCATTACTTATGCCTTTATATTATTTATACTTTATCACAAAAGTTCACATTTTTACTATAAAGGGCTTAAACATAATCAAGTCAAAAATAAGTTAACGTATGTATACTTTAGATCGTAAATATTGTTAACATTGAATCAACAATTAACACAACATTACAGTTCTTTAAGTATTAAACATGTATTAAGACATGAAATGACTATAACTTCTGCCTCATTAGTTCGAGTTATTCGCAGTGAAAGAAATGCAGTATTTTGTGTCCCACTTGAAAGAAAGGAGTTTTGGTCAAATAATGGCAGTCAAGTGCACGGCATTTGTTATCAAATGAAAAGCCAAGTCCAATGATTTACTGATGTGGTCGCGGGTTCGGTCGCAGTGACCACTTTTCGGCAAATATTTAAAACTCAAATCTTGTATTTCGTAAAATGATTACAATGTAAGGTTCATTATGCAAGATAGATATTTTCCTCTCAAAAAAATGAGAAAATCCCGGAAGATAAAAGTGGGAACTTATTTCTAGAAGGAACATATTTTTTAATTGTTACTATTATTTAAAGTATTAATTATAGACTGATTTGTTGAGTAAATAAAACCTATCAATGATAGGCTATCATGCATTGCAAAGTTATAGCTCTAAATGTGTGTGCAGTGTTACATGGGTTTTTATGGGATTACAGCTTAAATCGATGACATATGGTTAACACGAGTAGCGCTAAATCTATGGCAATGCTAATCCTATGGGATTTCACTAAACAAATGGAAACAATTGAAATATAACTAAAGCTTCCATTTTCGGGAGTAAAAACATCCAAATTAGGGAATAAAAGAGTCAAGATCGGGAAAATTCGAGAATTATGTTTTTATTCAAGTTTAACACAATAATTATACATTTAAATCATTTAGAAATTAATTAAATTTGATAATTACATGAAATATGAGATTTTCTTCAATTAATGAATGCCTTCTATTTGTAAGAATAATATTAAATTGAGAGAAAGAACGCTAGACTTGGAGATAATGAATGCATATGTTGTAAGACTGCATCTCTAAATCTTGTGGAATACAAAACTTTGATATATAGTTATATTCAGTTTGAATTTCAGAGTTTTGATGAAATAAATAATTTTCTTGGAAAAAATGTCTGATTACGCAAATATTTATTATAAAAATAGACTTATCGGGAATTTGCTCAAAATCGGGAAAAATAAAACATATATTTTTGGTCTATTATAATCCCTAAACCTAATAGTATATCGTTTCCGATGATTTTGTAAACTATTTTATTCGGGAATTCCCGAATATTTGAAGCTTTAAATATAACTAAATATTGTTAATCAACTCACACACAGTGATGCTATACGTTAACCACAATTTGGGTGATGCTCAAAGAATAGATTAGCATTGTCCATAGATTTAATATAACTACAATAGACTTGCTATAGATTTAGCATTGTCCATAGGATTAGTATTAATCCCATAGATATAACATTACCCATAGACTTAGCATTACCCATGTTAAAGTTTAGCCATAGATCCCATAGAACGGGGGGAGGGGTAGTCAAACGATCCTATAAACCACATTATTCAATGCTGAATTGTGGTTAAAAAGTTAAAATACTGAAAATATTGAAAGCATCCAAACAATAACATTGACAATAACAATGTTTGATGCATTTCCCGATTTGTGATTAACGTATAGCATTGCTGTGAGCCTTGTTTTCTTTTCTTTGAGAGTTATGACAGGAGAACCGCGAATTGTTTTAAAAACAGCCTCTGAGAGGTGCCACGATTTTCTCGGTGCCAATCGATAGATCTCATGATACCTAACAATAGTTATAATTACGTCGACCCGATCCGAGTGGTACATGACCTCCAAATCGGGTCCCGAAGTGACCAATATTTCGGGTGTTGTAAAAGTGTATTATTTCACTTCAAAGCATATCATATGATATATCAATGGAAAGGTCTCGTCGAGATGATCAATATTAGTCATATTCAAACAACGGTAAACTTGATTGAACTGTTAGTAATGGCATAATTTGACTAATAATAGTCATTTAAATGTTAATTACATAGCTATTGGTTATTTAACCAGTTGGGGTCAATAACATGAATATACTGTAATGGAATAGGGAGTCTACTGTTATAGTCAATTTTGTTAAGCCACCTCGGGTTCGGCCGCAGTGACCACTTATATCGGGAAAATTCAACTTATTCAATACTAATATGTGATATATGAAATCGATGTAGAATTT